ATCTGGGGGTTGTGTACAATTAGAGAGTACACAACCACCACCTGGAAAAAAAGGAAAAAAACAGCATCCCAAAAAATATTAATGTAACTACAGTTTTCTGCTGTTGCGTTATTTCCCATTTTAACAATTTCACCCCTGCTACACATTCCAGTACACTGATCAACTTCAAACCCTAAACTTACCAAAATGACAAAGTTGGCTTTTATTGACCTGCACGAATGTTTTTGATTTAACACCTTTCCTTTAAACATTTGATGTTTATTATGATTATTTTCTCATATCTGAAACAAATGTTCGGTTCGGGTCACTGAAACTTATTGGTTATAGACTGGAAACACAGCATTCATTAAAAAGTATGTTTACTGCTAGAGAAGAAAGATTACTAAGATGAGATGGTATTTTCATTATCCCATATTTGGAAAATTCCTTTGTTAAGGCATTTTAAATATTACTAATAATAATTGTAAGTAAGTAAGTAATAATGATAATACTAATAATAATAATAACAATAATAATAATAAAAATAATAATAAGCGGACACATTTATCAATTCAATGGAGTTCAATTCAGTTTTATTTATATGCACCAAATCACCACAGCAGTTGTCTCAAGAGGCCCAAGGCCTTATACAACACGCTCATATGCTCACCTGTCCATAACTGTACATAACTGTGAATAATTGTGCATCATCCCTGACAGGTGACTGACTTGCAGAAGTGTCATTCTTGCCTCAGTATAATATAGCTCTTTATGTTGTACTATTGCTAAATGTAAGTTAGATGCTGCTAAGATAACTTTTCTATTCCCGTTTGTTCATTGGTACTGCTGTAATATTGATGTAATATGAACATAATTAATGTAAAATAATGGAAATATTATTGATGTTATATTGACCCACATTATTATTGTAGGGTGTTCATCTAACAAAGCACTTTGAAGTGACTACTGTTGTTATTCAGTCCCTGTGACCCTGATAACAATAAGCAGAAGAGAATCGATGAAGTGAATTTAATTAATGTTGGAAGTCACTATTTAATGAAATTCATGTTTACATTTTAGATCTAGAATTTGCATAGGCAGTGGCATGGTGGTTAGTACTGCCACTTCACCTTCCTCTGTGGGATCTGCATGCACTGCCCGTGTTTGTGTGGGTTCTCTCTGGCTTCCTCCCACAGTCCAAAGACATACAGTTAGTAGGGTTAGCTTATTTGGTGAATCTAAACTGCCCATAGGTGTGAATGTGATTGTGAATGGTTGTCTGTCTCTCTGTGTTATTCACAGCTTTAGTGAAGGTTACAAATGATCTTCTTATGGCCTCTGACAGTGGACTCATCTCTGTGCTTGTCCTGCTAGACCTCAGTGCAGCGTTCGATACTGTCGACCATAATATCCTATTAGAGCGATTAGAACATGCTGTAGGTATTACAGGTACTGCACTGCAGTGGTTTGTATCATATCTATCTAATAGACTCCAATTTGTGCATGTAAATGGAGAGTCCTCTTCACACACTGAGGTTAATTATGGAGTTCCACAGGGTTCAGTGCTAGGACCAATTCTGTTTACATTATACATGCTTCCCCTAGGCAGCATCATTAGAAGACATAGCATACATTTACACTGCTATGCAGATGACACCCAGCTCTATCTGTCCATGAAGGTAACACACACCAATGAGTTAAACTGCAGGAATGTCTTAAAGACATAAAGACCTGGATGGCCGCTAACTTTCTGCTTCTTAATTCAGATCAAACTGAGGTTATTGTACTCGGCGCTGAAAAGCTTAGAAATATGGTATCTAAGCAGATTCTTACTCTGGATGGCATTACCTTGGCCTCCAGTAACACTGTGAGGAACCTTGGAGCCATTTTTGACCAGGACATGTCCTTCAACGCACATATTAAACAAATATGTAAGACTGCTTTCTTCCATTTGCACACTATTGCGTTGAGGCGACTGTTGTTGTGATTTGGGGTTGTATAAATAAAATTGAACTGAGCTGAATCGTGTTAGCCCTGTGACATAATCATCTGTCCTGCCCTGGTGCTTATTTCATGACGTGCAGTTATGTAAATATGGAAATCAACAGTCACCCTCATTCTTGCTCCCTCACACACACCAACATACTGCTGAGCAAAGTTGGATCCATACATGACAGAAATCAAATATGTCCGTCCTGTTTCTCGCTGAAACTATTATTAATTTTGCAGTGACCCTGCTTTAACTCGCTGACTGATACAACATCTGCCAGTTTGAATCAATATTCATGGGTTTGTTTTTCAGAGGTCATGTCTGGCCTGCAAGGTCATCAGTCTGATCTGCAAAACTCTGTGATATATATGTGATATATATAAATGTGACTATAGCCTTTTTACAGCTCTGTTACAGGTGTGCTCTTAGCCATGAGACACAATACTCATGAACTTTGACCAGCACACCAAAACACAATAATGTCATGGTTATGGAGAATTCAGGACCCAAGATGCAGACTCCAAAGCACATTTACATAAACGAAAACATTTATTTATATGAGGCAGCGATTCCAGAGAGCTGAGATAAAGCAGAGTAAAATGATCCAAACTGGAACACGCAGGCTGACAAACAACACAACAACAACACAACAAAGAACTGAGGAAAACTAAGGGTTTAAGTACGTACACACGTATGTAATCGGACATAATATCATGGAAAACCTGATAAACAGAAACTCTAATAAATAGCAGACTATGCAGAAAATAGAACAATCAACAATACTGCAATATGACTGCGTGGGCTGAAGACCCTGGATTATTGCAAATGAAGCCTTCTGCAGGGCAGTCCAGAGTTTTGCTGTACAAAGTATATACAGGGAATAACCTTTCACAGTAGCTCAGACTTCATGTGTGCAACAACTGTTGGTTAGCAGCTGTCAACATCTGCTTGCCTCTCACAGAAGCTTGAGCAGCAGGATGTGACGGTTTATGAAAACATCAGATCCTCCTGATACTGAAAATGATTTCTTTAATCTGTCAAATGAATATAGTTTCTAATTAGGGCTGGGCGATATGGCCTAAAATTCATATCACGATATAATTTGAAGCATGTGCGGTAACGATATATATCGCGATATATTCTTTTCTTCTGTATAACGTATTTTCCACACTTAAAATCCTTTAATTTTCTCAAAAATCGAGAGTGTGCCTTATGTATGAGTTCTGGTTGTGCTTACTGACCTCGAACCGATTTTGGCAGAAATCTGTTAAAAATGTTTTAGTATAACTTTGGTAAGCTGCACTGCTTGATGGATTGTCAGAGCATTACGGCTGCTGTAGTGAGGAGCTTCACGGAGTAATCTGGGTCCTAAACTCCGTCTGCTTCAGGTCCCAAAGTCAAACGAACACTGAGAGTTAAA